ATAGTATATGAATATGAACCAATTTCGTTGTATTTAAGTTACAATGACAATAAAGATTATACTTATATATTGTTTCTGACAGTGAGAGCAATCCACCCATGGAACAGAAGTTGCCTTTGGAAGTTGTGGGAGCTTCATCCCTGGAAGCTTTCAAGAAGAGACTGGACTGCCATCTGTTGGAAATGGTGTAGGGCCTCCTGCTTGGATGGGGGCGGGGGAGGGTTGGACTAGATTACCTCCAAGGTCTCTTCCAACTCATCTGTTAAATAATGCTTTGCAGCCCTCTCTAAGCGGTTTGCAGGGTCAGCTAATTGCCCACTAACGACCTCGTTTTACCGACCTTGGAAGGAGCGAAGGCCGAGTCAGCCTTGAGCCGGTGAGAATCGAACTGCTGGCAGTTGGCAAAATTAGCCTGCAGTACTGCCTTCTAACCACTGCGCCACCCACGGGTCTGATGCAGGAGAAGTCAAGACACAGATCAAAAGACTAGTAAATCGCAAGAATAAGGTTTACTTACACCTACCTGCCAAATGGCTGGTGGGCAGGAAACTGCTGTGATGAGGTGAGGATCCAAATGGGGTGGAGTTTGGATGAGCAGACCCTGCAACAACAACAACAACCACAAAATAAGCATCTGAGAATCATCTTTACTGAATCTGGTAACTTAGGGAAGATCCCTCCCGAGCTTCTTGCTTGACCCATTATACAGCTGAGGGCTATGCTGCCTCTTTTCTGACCGTCCTATAGGCAGCATCTCCTCCTTCCATCCTCCACCTCCTCACATAACGACCCCATGAGGGTGTAGTCTGGGCAACTGTATGGAACGGAGTGCTTACTGGCCAGATGCCTTTCCTGTTGCCAATGCGGAGTTTCCCACTCCAGCAGATACTGTATATTCTCAGAGAGAGAAATATTAGCCTCTACCTGGCATCGAACTCCCTGCCTCCTGATGAGGTGAGAGCTCTGCCTGTAGGCCACTGCACCCCTCATCTCCTCCCTCCATCTCCCAAAGTTTTTCTCACAAGGATTACAGCTGCCTCTTTCACAGGATAAGAAACCAGGGAGGGTCTCTTTTGAGTGTCTCTGAGGGGCTGCCACAGAGAGCAGGGGGTCAAGCTATTTTCCAAAGCACCCGAAGGCCAGACAAGGAATA